AAATAATAATAATGATAAAAGAATATACAAAACAAGTCATGCACAATGCAATTGCTCACCACCCGCTCTCTGACCCATGCCCAGCCAGTTCCTAAGCAGACGACCTGCCCCCCCCCAGCCAATTCCTCCCAGGTTTTTTTGTTCAGCATGACATCATATGGTATGGAATATCCCTTTGGCTGGTTTGGGTCAGCTGTCCTGGCTGTGTCCCCTCCCAGCTTCTTGTGCACCTTCAGCCTCCTCACTGGCAGGGCAGTATGAGAAGCTGAGAAGTCCTTGACTTAGTGTAAGCACTGCTCGGCAACAACTAAAACATCAGTGTGTAATCAACATTATTCTCATCCTAAATCCAAAACACAGCACTATACCAGCTACTAGGAAGAAAATTAACTCTATCCCACCTGAAACCAGGACAGATACAATGGAATTTTATCCCACTGATGAGATAGTTAAGCCTCTGTAATACACCACTGGGGTTTGTGATGAAGTTTCCAGGGGTTGCAAAGCTGTGGTAATTATCTGTCTAATTACGTTTTTTTTTCTGTGTGGGAGCATGGAGCTCCCAAAAGAGGATCTTATCTATTATCTGTGCAGACCATTACCTATATCCAAATTCAGAAAGCCATGAATATGAGTTTTACCCTGTGTCACAGGCTGATTATAAGACAGATGTATCAACTCTCTATTTTGCTTAGATATCTACTGTGTTACAAATGGGATGAGAAACAGTAAAAATTAAAGAGTTAAACAGATGAATCAAAGAAAAAAAAAAATCAAGAAATCTTCCAGTGGCTCTTACAGTATTCTTTATTTCCCATTGTACTAGATGGCATTTTTACTATTAAAAATGTATAAATGTTGAGACCTAGTGCACTCCTAGTAATTCTTCACAAACTACAATAGTGATATGCAAATGGTGCTCAAAACATTTCTGCTGCTGCAAATACCAAGGCTAAAGCCCAGTGATATATATTTTTCCCAGTAGTCCAATTATATTTGTAGGGTGATGCCGTGAAAAGAGATTGGAGAACATGTTACTTTTACTCAAGAACAGTGTGTGTGTGCACATAGGATGGGAGGTGTATCCCATATGGGATCAATTGCAGAGTACGACATTTCAGTCTTCGTGGTTTAAGGGTTGTAGGTGTGGATGGATGGAGGGATGGATGGATGGATGGATGGATGGATGGATGGATGGATGGATGTAAGCTGTAGCTCAAGGAGCTCCAAAGCATATAAGAGAGTATTTGAAGAAGTCAAGCCTGAAGAAGCCCAGCTCCACTCAGTTGGCTTTTTAGCTTTGTTTTAGTCCAGTGAGGCTTTCTTGCTTAATGTTCAGCATGTGATGAACAGATTGAATTTGAACTTAGGCCATATTCTTTACATCTTTGCATGCCTTTTGATACAAATCTATTGTTCCTCTTCAGGCAGCCATACTCTCCTCCTTCATGCATACTGGCACTGCAGTTATCCAGTTTGCATTTTATGTTGATTGCTGAGAAAATATTGTTTAAAGAGTTTAGTTGTTATCATGAGTCAAAGAGACTTTGTTTAGGCTTCAAGATGAATTGGAATTCAATCGTGCATTTTTCTGCTTACTTTTATAAAATGACAGCATAACAACATAATTTACCTTGATTTTTTTTTTCCCTGTGAGAAACCATGGGATACTAGTAAAGAACATTTAAGGCTTTCTGAAGTAATTCACCTGATTATAGCTAGGGAAAATCTATAAAAGAAGGATGATGCAAACTGTCAGAATGAAGCAGTTGGAGAGGAGATATGACTGGCAGCAACAGTGTTTCAGGTGGAAACAGTGTAAAATGGAGAAAAATAAACAAAACATTTCCAGATTTGAAAATCAATATTGGTTTGGGTGAATTTTCATAGAATTTCTAGCCTATATTTCGGAAAAAAAAAAACAGTGGGGAGGCAATAGGGGGTCATTCTTCAGCCCAAATACCACTGGGAAGTAATGTTTACATGTTATTTGTAGCATTTACTGCTTGTTCTTAAGTAAGTTACACTGTACATAAAATCCAGTAATGAACAACCATACTGTGTAAGCAAACAGCCATCAACTGGACTGTGGCTATTTGCAGTGAGTTCACAATTTTTAACAGATTAAGAATTATTTCCTTAAAAAGACTGACAGAGATACATTACTTTGGGTTATTCTGATTTTACAGTGTGCTTTTGGACAGTTTTGGATGATAGGACTCAATTATTTACATATTGCTTTTTGGGGTACGTAATTTGTTGAATTCTTGTTTTCCTGAGATTGACCTTTAAAGGTGAAATCCCTGCCTCTCAGCTGTGACTCACTGGTGTGGCAGCACTGTCTTCCAGTGCGCAGCACAGACAGCTGGCTTTGCTCTGACCAGTGTGTTTCTAGGGCTAAATACTAGTGTGCAGCCAAGTCCCTAAATACTAGCAAATGGACAGGGTTGATGAGAAGCAGATTTTGATACAAGCATGGGCTTAGACCTGGCCTGAAAGTACAGTTTTGATGTAGCCTTAAATTCCGTGTTCATTAAGTCCTGCATATTGTAAACTATAAAATGTCATCAAGTCCTTAGGAAACAGAAAAAAAGAAAACCACTGAGAGAAAAACAAAAAATTGGTACTGTATGTACACATAGTGTATAGAGAGACACTGCCTTAGATACATTGTTATTGGTCCTCTTCCATGAACAACCCTACCTGCTATCATCATACTTGGAAATTTTTTATATAATCCTTGTTTGGCAGTAGCTGTGAGGAAGCTGAACATCATGATTTTGGGAAACTCATAGCCCCCATGCCACAGGACACTGGAAAGGGAGTACATGTGCTCAGTGTTTTGCTCAGGGCTGATATCTCTATACAAATGACCTAGGTCTCTGTCTTGTCTTTGAAAGCTGATAACCTCAAACGTGGTTGCATTGCTGTTCTCAGTCATGCCTCCCCTTCCCTTACATCCAGCAGAAATAGCCATTTTGTTTTGCCTTACTTTGGTGGAAAGTTCTATACAGATAAAAGTATGTAAGTAGCTTAAACACATCTGTCATTGGCACATCCAATGTTTAAGCAGAGCTGTAAAAGATATCAAAGAATTTTGCTTGGTCTTGAAAAGTGACAGTTACAGAGATGCCAGCTGCTTTGCAGTCATTGCAAAACCTATCTCCAGAATCAGTTTCTGCCTTTTTACAGAACAGAGCTGACATCTGAAAGACATGTCTGTGTCACAACAATCTCTACAGAGCTGCACTGAAATCCTTTTTGTCACCACAATGACAAAGCATAATAAAGTAATAATGATACTGATTCAAGAGCATCACAAGCACAAAGTCATGAAAAGAAATGCAATGCTTTTGGTATTTTTTTCCCCTGTGCTGTAGCTGCAGGCCTACAAAGGTTTATGTACATAAAGAGCAAAGCACAATGGGACTGTTCATATGCCTCAAGTAAAACACAGGCTAAATCTTCGTAGGCCTGAGACTTTCAGTTCAGACTATCTGTACATTAATTTCCCTAATACATATATACCATATAATGTATATAATATAGAAAGAGTAATTGTTACTTAAAAGAATGATTTGCAATGTGAAATTTATTTTATTTTAAAAACACATATTGTTCTTGCATTTGGCAAAAATGTATTAGAGCTCTGGTTCATTGTTTTTCTTTAATTTCAAGTCATTGAATTTAGTGTCATACAGTGCAATGCATTGAAAAAGCTTCAGATGTGAAATCTCTTGTGAAGGTCTCAATGTTAGAATTGGAAATGCTAAGTCTGCCTCGAAGTCCATGATGTAAGTGTCTGAAATTTTACAGTTGTTTTCTTGTACTGAGTGTTTCGACAATTCCCTGGAAGGAAAAGTACAAGGTAATGCAAATGACTGCTTATGTGTCAACTCTTTATCTGTGCCTTCAGATGCCTCAATTTTTCTATGTAGTCACATGCAATAGAATATTGTGACAGATGCGCTCAACCACTTGACCAAACTGGCCGCAGTTTGGTGTAGGCTCCAGAAGAGGTAAAGGCCTGAGCCCTAGCTGGGCCGTGAACTCCTCTAGTTTCAATCCATTCTCTGAATACCCACAAAGGAGCAGAGTGACACAGCGACCATCGATGTATATGAGCTTGGGACACCGATCATGCGATCGACACCTGAATAACAAGTGGCTTTTCGAAGACTCATTTATCAAGGAACAAAGAAAGTTGTGGGTAAAAGGAGTCTCCTGCATACCTTTTCTATCGCATGCAATTTGACTACATGCCAACCACTTTATTCAATAAATATGACAGCCTGTCAGCCTTCTTTGAGCTCTCTCTACTAAGCAGCGTGGCTGCATGGCAGTGATCTCCTGGGATGCCTCTCAAGGTTGCTCCTCAAGACAGAGAGACCTTTTACTGACGACAGATCTTTGGTAAGTGACCGATATCATGCATAACTTTGTAGTATGGTGACTTTGATTTTGTCCTGGTAACTTTGATTGCATGCTGAATTGATGCTAATGAAACATTATCTGACTTTTGCACAAACAATTGCTTAGACATAAACCGTTGACCAAGTCTGAGACTAAGGCTGGATCCAGCCGCACCTAGACTCCTCTCTGAGGAAGGAGCTTAGAAAGAAAGGAGGTCCTTTCTGAACCTCGTGACTCAATGGGAGGGTCTTCCTCCATTAGATATACCCCGTTGACCAAGCCTGAGACCAAAAGTGGACCTAGATGCACCTAAGCTCCTGTTAGGAGTTTAGAAAGCAAGGGTGTCTGCTCTGAACCTCGTGACTCAACGGGAGGGTCTCCCTTACTGTTTGCATCTTCGGTCTCTCTGTGAATCATCCTAACTCGATGTAACTTAATTTTCCTTTGTATGATTCTTCCATGCCGTAATTAATAGAGTGAACCTTGCCATTGAACTTTGTTAAGTTGCACTTTTTATTAGAACTGCTTTTGCTGATACCTTTGTTGGTGATTCCTTAAGCATTCTAAATCACCTGTTTACAACAAATATGTTGGGTGTTCAGTGTTTGGGACAGGCACACATCAGGCCATGTGAGCCCGTTTACAGTGAAAGATTACCTGGGTCTGCTACTCTGGGAGTTTGGCCTAAATCAAAGGATGTGATCAGAGGTGTACGTGGTTTCCCAGAGGTATGGTACAAACACATATAAAGATCCTCCAAAACAGAACAAGTTACTTTACAAAAACATCTCTCTCACCTGTAGCAATACTTCCTAGGAGAACAGGGAATGACTAAACAGCAATATATGCCAAAGGTTCAGTTCGGGACAGAAAATTCATTTTCAATTCTTCTTCCAATTAAGCTGTTAAAAGTAAAGACGATAACTGTTCCAGACACAGTGACATATATATACTCCTCCAGCCCCTGGGCTTGGCTTTCCACCCCTTTGGCATCGAATATGCTAGCTTGTCCTCAGTGACTTCCCCTTGCTATTCCTTTGAGAATCTCAGACCATTTACTGGACTCCGACTTTGAGTCCCTGATTGTAAGGAGAGACAAATACTGATGTTCCCAGATGTCCTTATCCAGCCCAAATGAGCTTTCATTCACAGTGGATTGTGCAAGTGTTTAACAGGTAATGTTCCATCTCCTTTCCTACCTGCTTTGATGAGGACTGAAAGAAGTGACATGTCACAACTGTTTTCAGGAACATCCAATTTAGCAGCCACTACAATGAATAGGATAGGTCATACCTCTAACGCAATTGTTTAAAAGTAGCAGAGAGCTCCTATAGCATCTATCACCATGGTTTGTGAGGCTATCTCTACAGTTGTAACAGCTAAAACCTTTTTTTGAGAAAAGCTTTAGATTCTGGAAGAGAACAATGTAATGCTGTACTGATGCACAGTGACTGGATCTGGACTGGCTACATGTTTCCTGGTGTTTTCAAACGAGACAAAGATAGCTATTCAGAACTATTTCTAATGAGGCAAGAACAGAAGTCTTCACAGACCTGTGGAAGCTAAAGGGGTATGAAATTTTGTCATAAGCGGTAGAGCTGAAACCTACAGCAGCATGGAGCTGTGACTGAAGTGAAGTATCGGTAATTCACATCAAGGATGTAAACTCCTTGGATGGATGTAAATCTTCCTGAATCCTAGAAAACATTTAAACAGCCACCGGCTACTTTGGATTTTCTCTTACACTCATCTTAGACGAAATACCATTTTCGTAGGCTGGGATCAGATTGGAAGTGTTCTTTGGACAAGGAATTCTCGTCTTCCCCATTTTGAATAAATGAAGTTATACAGCCAGAGTGGCAATATTTCCTTAAAAATGGCTGACAGCAAATTTCACTGAAAAAGTGATATTTTGGTCTGTTTGGTCTGTCACTATTCATGCATCCCTTGTAGTAACCTGCTAAATGTATACTCCCTTAACAGTCAACCATATGCCTATATTCGGGTACATTAGTTTAATTGTTGGTGAAAATAGCGAACTCTGGTGGAGGAAAAGTGAAAAAAACATGACACAAATAAAAGCTGAAAGAAATACACGACTGCGTCATCAACAGCCAGAGATCTTTTTCATTACCCAGTGAGGGAAACTTAGACTCAAATCTTTTGGGTTTCTCAAAATGTTGTCCCAAAACAGGGTTCTTCACCTGATGTGAAAAGAGCCGAATAACACACAGAGCCGAGATATTTGTTTATTTCATGTCTGCGCAGAGAGGGGTGCTAGGTGGTAACTCTACGAAGCTAGCACACCTTGGCTAACACACGGTTAACGTTTATACATTCCGAGCAACAGTTATCAGTACTTTTACAGTTATGCTTTAGACACCTTCGTTCCCATTGGTTCTTGTGATGCCTGGTCTCCACTTAAAGTTACAGTGTCCTCCCACTGCACAGCCCAGGCCCGGTGAGAGGAAGGGGCATTGTTGGTAGGGGGATTTCATTACGTGAGGGCTGGTTTTTTACTATGTTAATTAGGATAGTTCACTCCTGGTTCAAGTGATTCTCCTTGGTCTTATCAGTGGTTTTGTTCCCTTTGCCCTTATCTTGGTATTTTCTAGTCTGGCTGTTCTATGGTCCAGTTCCTTCTCCCAGTGCCATGTCTTATTAACTATATCTACAGAGGTTGAGTAATATCCTTTGTTTTGTTTCTCGCATGTCTCCCAACAAAATGTCAGCAGAGTTCTCAGCAGTTGTGTGCAGAGGTGGAATGAGCCTGTAAAGGTGACCAAATACACGTGTTTTAATTTTCTAAAGCTGTAAATAGTCTCTTGGTTGCATCAGATATATTTATTTCAGAAGAAAAATTAATTTTAAAAAGGCTGAACCAAGCTGGATTTGCTCCCTACCAGAATGGTTACAGCTCTGTATAATGGATAAGATTTCCAAAGCAAGTAGTGCTTTTTATTTTCCTATTTTGTGAGTGTGCAACTTGCGACAATGTAGAGAGGCCTGTTTACAGAGCAGTTGCTTTCTCAAAAAAAATGTATGGTTCTTTCAAGCAGAATCAAAAAATGAAACAACAAAAAAACTGAGGCAAAGAAATGTATGAACAAAAGAGTTACAGATTTCCTTCTGTGTATGTCATTAAAGAGACAGTCTTCTACAGTATTGCTTTTCAAACTTGATTTTGTATTCTGAAATGCTAAACTCAGAGCTAACTAAATGAAAGCATTAATAATGTAATCTTTTATCTATGCCATATATTTTTATTTCTGTGGATTGTTTTCAGAAATGTCAGAGTCTTCTCTGCTAATACAAATTATCATGCATCAGTAAAAACATGCAATTTCGTATAACTTTGTTTTCTAATTAGAACTGGAAGCACTGGTTTGAAATCAAGCTGAATGAACTAGAAAAGCTAGGTAATGCAGTTGAAGGCTGTGGCATCTGTTTATTGTATTTCAAAGTCAAACACTGGTTCTTCCCAACTCTCACATGGAACTAACACAAAGTATCTATATGTACCTAATATATACCTATAGTATCTAATATTTACATAATATCTATCTATATATTACAAGACATGCAATATCTATAAGATATTATAAGATATATATATATTAAAAAAGTCTATAATATCTAAGATATATAAACTTCAAAGATCTTTATATATATTGGCTATGATCCTGAAGGGATGTCCTGAAAATAAACTTGCAAACGTGCTATGTTTATAGCAACTTTTGATTAGAAATTTCATTTAAAGTCTTCAGTCTCTGAATTCAGTTGGGAGGCTCAGACTGAGGATATTAGGTCGACCCACACATTTTTGCATCTGCAAGAGAATAAATGAAGCCTTTAATTCTGTTAGCTAGGAGTTACATTTTAAAAATATGCTTTCCTTATTTAAAAGAGCAAGTTGCGAGTTTGTATGAGTGGACAGTGCATGCCCAAAACTTAGGCACACAGGCAATACTGAGTGTTACATACATAAGAAATAAGTATTCGTGCTGGCCAAGCCCCATACCTGACTGGTGTTGTGATAAACATTTCTCCCAAGTGCCTTTTTACACAAGAAGTGTTCAGTCTTTGGAAGGCACGCTGGGTTGTTGTCATCATTTATGTAATTAAAAGCTGTTATTTTGTGAAGAAGGAATTGAGAGAATAGCAGAGCTGCCCAGCATTGTTGTAGAACAGTTTGTTCTGAGGATGCACCAAACCTTGGAAACTGGACATAAGTGTTGAACACACAGACCACACAGGTGACAGCATGCACATTGTCTGAACATTTCTGATTAGTATATGTTTAGAAAACACAAGCTCTCTGCACCAATTTTTTCTAGTGATATGACATCTTCATCTCTAAATTCTCCCAAACAAACCTGAATGGCCTGAAAATGTGTTGGTCACAGTGGCTGGTGATAGAGTCAGAACACGATATTAGAAAAAAGGCACTACACAATAACTTTCATCTTAAAAATTATTAATCCACTCTCCTCCTGGAGCTGAAGTTCCATGAAATGAGAGGGATTAAACAGAGTACGGTGGCATGTTGCTAAGTGCTAGCCATTTCACTGCAGGGGCTATTTGTCAAATGTATCTGGTACAGTATGTAAGGTAGTGACATTACAAACTTGTCTTAGAAGAGTGCATTTAAATATCACTGCACAAGCATATGTAAGAGCTCTGGTACCACTACAAAGTTCTGCAGTATTTCATGTCTATTTCATCTCTATGAGGTGTACAGGACTGTATTTAACAATATTTTAATAAAACAATTGTCACACAAAAATTTTATTGAAGACAAGCTTTGACAATGGTTCAATAAATTTGCACATCTGAAGAAAAAGTATTATTGTCCAAGTAATTGTGAATGTTAAAAAACAACATTCAGAGATCCAATCTGATACTAAACAGTGTTAAATCAGAGTTCTATGATGAATTATATTCTTGCAATAAAAAATTATTCTAATGCCTTATTCTTTTTTGTTATATCATGCTTTCACTATTTATTTAATAAATCATTAAAATTAAAGATATTTTATGGAAGAAAATAAAGCTTTATGTTCCAAAACAGACTGCTGTCTTGGGTTGGTCTGATATTTTTACAAGAACAAATAAAACGTTCTTGAGGAATTACACATTTTTTCAATGTGTAAAATCTTAGGCAAATATTTCTGAAATTATATCAGACATGATATTCCATATAAAGGTGGGTCATGCAAAATCTTTCATCTATAGTCTTGACCTTCCTATGAGGGGAGACCCTTTGCAATTGGGAACTGACACCTCAGAAACACTCATGATGAATCTTCCTTTGCAGGAGAAAATACAACTGCCTTGGTTGATGTGTGAAGCAGTAAGGCTCAGGAGCTAGAAAAGAAGTTTAAGTGTCTCTGTGAATTAACTCTAATTTATTAGGTAATTTTTTTCTGTGTGGTGTATACTTGAGAGTGTTGTGCACGTTGTCAACAGAGAGTTATATATTCTTTGCCATAGCTGGTAGCTATAGGGTAATCTGCCCTGGTGCCACAATAGGATAGAGAATGAACTACTGATTTGAATTTACAAAGCATTCTTTTAGTCACACTGATGGTCAAATTTAACACAGGCTGCTCACACAGAGAGTGGATGTACCTCAGTTGATTTAACCACAACTTGTGGTTAATATGGAGGTCATCACTGTGTAGGTACAGAAGACTACACTTCTTCTACCAGCAGATTAAATTTCGAAGGTATGCTTGTAAAGAAAAAGGAATCAGATTTATTAAATCCCATTTGTTTACAATTTACAGTAAAATTGTTTTTTATAGGCCACATAATCCATGAAGACTGTGTTTAACAATTTAAATGGTAGCCTATTTAATAAATGAGGACTCAGTCTTCTGCACCTTGGCTGATCATGTAAGTGTTTTTGTGCCCCTGTCACAAACTTGTCCTAATATTAAGGGTAGGCAAAAGTATGTTTCACATCAAATGAACATTTATCTTTCTCTATATTCATATATGTAACATCCAGATAATACATGCAAATATTTGTGAAATATATTCAGGAACAGATATTTTTATATATATATATATATATATATATACATATATATATGTATAAGTATTTTCTTTTGGAAAGAAGTGTCCCATTTTGTTAGGCATTAATGTAAATAATGTATGGGAAACACTTGGGAGCTGCTGATAAAAATACCTTTCTGTTGATAACTTGATTTAGTAGATGAGACAAAAAGCTTTTCCCCTTGAAGATGCTGGCTTAAATGAGTTCAAGGTAAAGACTAGCTTATGGAAGGCTCCAAAGAAATGAGTGGTTTCATTTCTTGTAGAACTCCCACACCATCAAGTTCAACATGTCCCTGGTAGAAATGTTTGTATTCCTAACAGTCTTGGCAAAGTGATGAAAAATGGCATGAGCTTGATTGCACACTATTCTTTTCCAACTACAACTAACTCTTTGACCACAAGAAAGAGGACTGCAAATACCTTATCTGCTTATTTACTTTAGAAGCTACACTTTCTGAAGTCACTCCATAACTTACCTACGTTAATAATTTCAAAATCTGTATTTTCAACCTTGCCACTCACAAAAAAAAAGAAAGATGCAGAAATAATTCCACCAGCTATATAACCCCATGAAGGTTGCAGGTTTATCCCATTAAGGACAGTATTTAATTAGAAGTAATGCATGGAACTATTTTCTAATAAACACTGTAAATGTCATATAATTAGGTATTTTATTAGAAATAAATATTCTTATTTTGTTATTCCCCCTTTCTATTCATGCTGTACTGATTTGTACTGATAGTTCTTCTGCTAGTTAGCTGTCTAAGGAGAAGGGAGTTTCTGTACATGTGGGATTCATTCCTTGTATTAAAAGAGAGGCAAGATTTCATCTGTTTTTCTGAGGATGCACATTGGATTTAAAGGCTTTTCAGTTCCCTTTAGTTCTTATGTTCACCTTTCTTGAAAGTAGCAGGCAGAAGTGATGACGTGCCATCACTCCCTCACCACCGGGCCTAATGTTGTAAGTCATATAAAACAAGGAACAAATCTTTTGGCTCTGTTTTCCTACCTTGTTTATACAACAGAGTCATAATCAATGAGTAGTCTGATCTAAAGAGGAATAATAGCAGCTCCCCAGTGTACCAGACCCATGCAAGATTGAGTGTTGATGTCTTCTGGAGGAATTTCTGTTGTCCTTTTCACTGTCTTGCAGAATAGGTGCTGCCTTACAGCCACAG